CACATTCCAGGTAAAGAAAGCAGCATCAGCGGTAAAGAGGGGGAAGGGAAGGGAAGGTGCCTCGGATCCAGCCACCCGGGGATTCACCCCCCTCCCGCACCCCACTTTCAAGAAGTTCAGCGCGGAGTTTGCCACAAACTTTCTGTGCAAACGAGGCTTCTTGGAACCAAAGCAAACTTACAGCGAAGTCGGACTTACTCCAGGCCAGGGGCGTTGCTGTCTAGGATTCTGCTCGAATCTTTAAAAAGATACCCGGGAGGGAGGCAAGTCGAAGAGGCTGCCAGCGGGAGCAAAAAGTCCCCCAACTCGCTACAGCAAATGCGGAAGAAAACGCCGGTCCTGCGCGTCCCCCATCCCGCCTCCCGCCGCCCCGGCCTCGCGCAGGGACGGCAGCCGAGCTGCGGCGGGATGGGCCCAAGGGAACTGCAGTGGTGGCGCGCGCCAGCGGAGAGAGGGGAAGGCAGGTGTGCTCTCGCTTTCTGCCCGAGCCTCGCGCCTACTAGGTGACCGCGGACCGGTCAGTTGGCTCAGCCCGCAGGCGACCGACGGTTCCCCGAAGCTCAGAGCGGCTCCGCGTCCCTACCCAGCAAGGCGACTCCCAGCCAGTCCACGGCCATCTCTGCAACTACTCGGCCGCCTCTCTCTCCGTTGACGCCGCAGTCTCCGACTCCCGAAGTTGCTTTAGCGACCGACCGCCGCAGTTGCCGCTACTGGCTCCGCGCACGGGCCGCCCCTTCCAGCAGCCGGCAGCCCAAAAGGCAGCGAGAGGCGGAGGCGGACACGCCCGGAACCGCCTCCGCGGTGATGCCAGGCCCCCCGCGGAGGGCGCGCGCAGCCTCGTCGCACCGGGCCTGGGGAGCAGCACCGTCCTCCCCGAAGGTCGTTGCCCGCTGCCGCCCGCAGAGCCGGAGAGACGGCTGGAGCAGGCGCGCCAAGCCCTCCCAGCGTTGGTTGCTTTGCACTTACCTCCACCGAGACGGCGTCTTTCCCTGGTCTGTTCCACCAACCACGGTTAAGCAAATTGTGGGCTGGCTGTTACACACGCGGCTGAATGAGGCCTTAGGAACTTCCAAGCACGGTAGCCAAGGGAAGCTTTTTTGGGGGGTGGGGGTGGGGGTGTGTGAAAACTGGCCTGTCCTCCCCAGGAGCAGGCGAGGCATCTGTTTACTAGCAGGGCAGTGGGGAAGCTAACGGTCCCTCCAGTGGGATATTTGGGGGTTGAGAAGGTTGCCCCGGGTGGTTAGATGGGGTGGCTCGAACCTTTGGAGCAGGGGAAGGAAGGGCAGCAGGAAAATCAGGCGAGGGGTGGCAAATGGGCAGAGAGAAGCTTCTTTCTGGCAGGCAAAGGTGGAGTCACTGCTGAAGCAGCAGGAGGGAAGACCCTTTTCACTCGCGGGGAGCTGGAATCTGCTGCCCTTTAGCTGGGCTGGCTTTAGGGACAGGCTTTTCCCATCAACGCTCCCTCCCGCGTCTTCCAAGCCCAAGCCTGCTTCAGGCATCTCGGGAAGGAATTCACAGCTCACAGAGGTCCAGGGATGGAGGAAGTGGTGGGGCTCCAACATCCCACTCTCTGGGAAGCAGCCGGCCGCCGTTTCAGTAGAGCGACTCTCAGCCTTGCCTAGCGTGTGCCAGAGCAATACCACCCAAACTAGACCCCCCCCCCCCCGCAACGAGTTCCTTCTGGTGTCACATAGGAAGTGGGGAGATGGGGGAAAGAAGGAAGGAAATGCTCCTGGCTGAAGGGGGAGGGCAAAGGATGCCAATCTTGGGGGGCATCCTGAGCCACGGGCTAGCGTCTGCTGAGGTGGCAGGTAGAGGGTGCGGAGATGCTGCGGTCGTGGCAGCTTCTGAAGCTCCCAGAGAATCATGACTCAGGGATTGTGCAGTGAAAGATAAAAAAAGAAGAAGAAACTGTAAAGGTGCCAGAAATTCCGGGCAGCAGCCTGGTGGGGGTGGGGGGTGAGCAGCTCTTACTGCATGGGGGGAGGGGAATACTTTTTCCATGCCTCTCTTGCGGGTGACCATTGCAGAAAGTCAGGGGCACTAGGCCAAGAACCGAGTCCCATTGAGGGCCTGGCTGGACTTCAGCCACGAGCTGGCCAGGACTCTCCAGAGGAGGAGGGGCCTTCGCGCTCTCCATGCAAAGGGGCGTTTGCTTGGTGCCAGCGAGCCTCAGTGCTTAAAGAGTGAGCATCGGAGAGGAATCCCAGCGCTCGCCGGAGAAGCTTGGCTCCCTGGGGCGGCAGCAGCCCAATCTTCCTCCGTTTCTCCGACGCTCCTCTGTTCTTTTCTGCCGCTTGAACCCCTCCCGGGAAGGAAGCCGGAAGGGGGCAGTTTGGTCCCAAGGCCTCACAACTACCGGCCCCGTAAAACTTTCTGCAGCTCGGCGACCTAGCAGCAGCCTCTCCCACCGGCGCCGGCGCATTCTTGCGAAAAACTTCACCGAGGAAACCCGGTGGCTTCCCTGAGACCGCGACGGGCCCTCGCAGGAGGGGGAGGGGCGCGCGGTCTGGCTCTCTCCCGCGAAGGCGATCCTCCCATTCAGGCTGACCTCGCCTGCGCGGCTGCGGCCGCCCACATGCCCTGCGCGTGCCCTCTCACTCGCGCCGCTTGGTCGTCGGGCGCAAAAGCAGAAGGGCCGGGAGCGCGCCCAGCTGGCGCGAAGCAAAGTGCTGGCTTCGCAACTTTCCCTTCGCGTCCTTGGGTTTCAAGCGCTGTCCAGGCCGAGGAGTTGGGTTTCTCCGCCTCCGCGGGGTGGGTGGGTGGGTGGGTGGCGGCGGGGGGCGGGATCTCTCCTAGGACACCAAGCGGGAGGACCAGGCGTTTTGCACAGCCCAAGAACCGCTGCGGACATCCTCTGCCCTGGGACCTCCGGCTCCCGCTTGCGCGGTCTGGTGCTGCTTCAGCCACTCCTGCGCCGGCTGCTCCGCACTCCCGGCATCGCTTCCCCCTCCCCCGCCTGAAGCCTCGAAGGGCCTCTTCCCGCTGACCAAACCCAGGCGCGGGAAAGTTTCAGGGACAACCAGCCAAGGCTTCCTCGAGGGCGCTCCAGCCGGTTCTCTTCCGCACCAGACAAGAAAGCGGACTCCTTCAGGTTAGGAGACGGTCCGGGTTCCTGAGCTCTTCGGAGGGCAGGAGGAGAGTCGGAATAGGGGACTTTTCTTGGCCTTTCTTTGCAGTTTCTCCCGACCAGAAGGGGTCTGGCGCGCGCGCATCCGCCCTGCTCATAAGCCCCGAGAAGGCTGAGAAGCGCATCGAGGCCGCTCTCTCCGGCCGCCCACGGGAGATGCTCGCAGGCTCCCGAGGGACACCCGGCCCAAGTCAACGCTTCGTCTTCCCGGCCAAAGGAGTCCGGAGCCGCAGCGGCTCTCGCCCTGCCGGGATCTTCCGCACCTAGGCTGCAAACCCGATGGCCGCGCCTGCCTCCTGCTCCGCCGAAGTGTTGCAGCGGAGACCTGGGCATCCGCCAGGAAAGAGCGGCGCGCAAGAAGCGCGGCGGCGAAGTGGCATCTCTCGCGCGATCCGCCCTTGGCCTGCCCAAGAGGGAGTCAAGAATCCCGCAGCTTTCGGCCGCTGTCGGCAGGCCAGAGTTGGTTTGTAGCTCCGGCAAAGACCGCTAGACTCTCTGCGGGAGGGAGACGTTTGGCCCCATTTCTTTCCTTCCCGGCCTTCTGGTCGCAGACGCGGGAGGGAGTCAGGCGCCCCCGCAGCCTCGAGCGGCATTTCTTGGATGGGCCGCTGCAGAACTTACTCTGGGCCGAGGAACGCCCTGATCCGGAGCAGCCTGGAGCGCGGCACCATCCAAAGGACAGAAGAGAGGAAAAGAAGCCAGACCCAGCAGCTTAAGCCGGCTCCGGTCCTCTGGGGCAGCCAGCTACCCGACCTAGGTGGGGGTCTGTAGCATGTTGGCGCTCCTTCCGGGGAGTCCCGCTTCCTTTCCTAGAGCTCCGACGCCAAGATTCTGTGGCCAAGTCTGCCCGTTAGCAACCTTCCCAGCCTCCCGGCCAGGAAAGGGAGCCAAGATGGAGGGAGGCTACCTGCTCAATCTCTCACCTTGACCCAAAGGGCATCTTGTGAAGGTCCCTTTCTTGGGGGGGGGGTGTCAGATGAAGATGCCAGGAGCCACTTGCTGCAGTGCCTGCTGAGGGCAGTTCGACCTTTGTCCAAGGCGGTTCTCCTCTCGAAAGGCTTTCAAGAGTTGTGTAAGTACTGAACCCCAAACGACTCTTTGAGACCCTCATCTATGGTAGGAGGTTCAGGTGGTTGATCCTGAGTTTCAAAGAGCATTGCCCCACAGCCAAAGCTGCTTCCACTCTCAGCCCCCTTCAGATTTGCTGGCTTTGAATCCAGCTAAGGGATCCTAATGGAGAGCGGTCCAAGAAAGGAAAAGGCAACCGTCCCTCCCTTTCCCAAGGAGGAGTAAATAGGGGAGAAGGGTGGGGGAAGAGAGCAGACTTACACCAGGCGCCCACCCCTCTCCAGGGAAAGAAGCAGAGGTCTGCCTGTGTGGGGAGGCAAGCTCTGCTTTATTTCGTGTGACTGTTGGACTTCCTGAGCAGACCCAGGACAAGAAACATTGATTTCCAGCGCAGCAGCACAGTAAGTCACTGTCGGTGCAAATGGAGGCCAACTCAATTCTGCAGTTACAAGAAGAGTGATGAAAACTTTTCAGGCAGAGCCTGATGAATCTGAATTGCAAATTTTGCAAAATAAGGACAGAAAAGTTGCATAACCCATCTCAACTGAGGGCAGGTGTTGGGAACATGACAGAAGGGGGGAGGGGGGGTTGCAATCAGCAGACAGCAAAGTGCAATTCCAAGGAGAAGCAGCAGAGCCAAAGACAGATCAGCACAGTCACAAGCCAACTGGGGAATCACTTGCTCTCACCCCCCAGGGCAACATCCTAGGAAAGGAGCTGGGTGCCCAAAGAAAGGGCCTGTTCGGGGGGGGGGGGGGGCGGCGGGGGGGGGCACCCCGGGGGGGGTGGGGGGGGGGGGGGCGGCTGCCGGGAGAGCCCCGGCAGGGGTCATGGTGGGGGGAACGGAGGCCCCCAGGGCCCTTCTTGCTTTGGGGTTCTAACTAGCAGACAAGATGTGTGAACAGGGAAAGTAAATACCAATTGGCTGCAGTGAGTCTGGATGGAAAACTCTTCCACTAAATCCCAAACAGACAACCTACCTACCTACCTTCCTTCCTTCCTTCCTTCCTTCCTTCCTTCCTTCCTTCCTTCCCTTCCCTTCCCTTTCCTTTCCTTTCCTTTCCTTTCCTTTCCTTTCCTTCCTTCTCCTGCTCCCCTCACACATCTGCCCATGCACACACCTCCTGCTTATGCCAGGCAGAAAACCTTCCGTTGTTTTCACGAGAGAGAGGGGCGAGGGTCAACAGCATTCCTTCCAAACAGTCCAGCCATGGGTTTCCAAGATGGGGGGGGGGAGCTCAGTGCTGGCCTGCAAGAGAGACGGCTGCTGACCCCGGCAGTGATTTCTCCTGGCAGTGGCGAATTGTGCTTGGTGTTCAAGGTGGAGGGTGAGAAATGGCAGTTTCTGCTTTGGAGAGGAAATCCTGCTTGGCTGTGAGATGCACAGGGGGACCCTCACCGGCTCCCAAGCCACCTGGCTCCTCTCGGGGCCTCTTCCAGTAGGGACCCCTGGGCTCCACGAGCAAAGGAAACAGGCTTTCACCTCCCCAAGATTTGGCAGCAGCAGCAGCAGCAGCAGGGGTGGGGGAGGGGCTTGGCCTTCTTGCCAGGGACACACAACAGGGCTCCCTCTGTCCAAATGGAGGAACTGCCTGTCTGGGACAGGAATGCAGGCTTACCCCAGGAGGCTTTCAACTTCAGTTCCACAAATTCCTACACACACACACACATAAAAACCCAGTGCCGGCAGCCCCCCTCCCCCCTGCTGCGCTCTGGCCCAAGAGCCCCAGGGATGAAGAGGGACAGGGGAAGCAGCCCAGCCTTTCTGACAGTTTGGGTGGAACTCTTTGCTTCAGAGAAAGTCCAGGGGAGGGGAGGGCAGGGACAAGGAAGAGCAGGAAGGCCAGCCTGGAGGAGACCCTCCCTACTTCATGCCTTCCTCCGGGTTCCCCTCCCCATCGGTTTTGCCCTCTTCTTCGGTCTTCTGGTCATCCGTGTTGAGCCTCTGCTGCTTCTTGCGCCGGACACACTTCACAATGACCAAGGCCAGGATCACCACAGCCAGGAAGCCCCCCACAGTGGCCCCCACAATCACAGCCACTGTGGAGTCCCGCTCTGGGGGTTCTGTAGAGAGAAGCCCAGCATCAGGCAAGGAGCAGCCCTGGGGGTCTCCTCCCAGCATTCGCAGGAAAGGCCCCGGAGAGGGAGCCCTCCCTTTCCCAGGAACCTCTGGGGAGGGGAGGAGCCTCCCCTGTGTCCCCGAGGGGGCTTCTGGGGCCTTCTGGAAAGGGGAGCGAGTGGGCAGGGAAGGGTGTGGAACCATGGCCTGACCTTCTGTGAGAACTTGGAGGCTGATCTGGCCGTGGCCCTTTTGTCGGTCAGGCGGGTTCATCACGTAGCAGTTGTACAGCCCTGCATCCTCCAGCTGCACGTTGTGGAGGGTGAAGGACATGTCGTTCTTGCTGGGGTTCCCTGTAAACTCCACGCGATCCTCAAAACGGTTCAGCTCCACAGGAACCACTTTCAGCTTAAACTGCAAGAACTGGGCGAGATAGGAGGACCAGGAGAGTTGTGGGGTCTTTGGGAGCAGCCCAGCCTCCAGCCCAGCCTACTGTCTGGGATTCCTGGCGCTGGAGGGCAGGGTGGGAGGGAGCAGAGGCAGGGAGATTAGGAAACTTGGACAAGGGTCACCCATCCCATCCCCACGACCCCTCCCACCCAAGGGCTGCAAAGCCCAGAGTTCCTGCGAAGCAGAGTTTTGCCCATTGGCTCCCTCCCCCCCCCCCCCACAGTTGATGGGCCGCGGGACTTTCCCCAAGAGGCACAAGCAGCATTCAAGTTTGGGGCAGAGTGGTTGCCCAGGCCCCCCCCCTCGCCCCCAGCCAAGGTACTCACCATCTCTTCGGTGCAGTTCTGGCAGGTTTGGTAGGTCCAGTTCAGGGAGAATTGCTTTTTGTCTACCTGGTAGCAGGAATGGAAAGTGCAGCTGAGGCGGATGGAAGAGCCGTTCAGTGCATAGAGGGTGGTTGGGGCCATCAGCTCCATGCCCAGCGTGTTCAGCACTAGCAAGAAGAGAAGAGCCCCCCCCACCCCACCCCTGCTGTTACTCCTTTTTGTACTAAGACAAACTGCAGATCCTTCCAACCAGGGAGGCAGTGGAGTGCTGCTTCCAACAGTATAGAAACTGCGGACACCACAGAACGGGCACTGTCACTGTTCTGTATTCTGCAAGCATGTACTGGAAAACTGGGAAATTTCTCCTTGACCACCAGGTAGTGCTGTGGGCTGCTTTGCTTGAGTCGGGGGGGGGGGGGGGAACTCCAGAGGAATTTATCATTTCCTTGCTGGAAGAAAAACCAATTAATCGAATACAACACTCCAAAGGTTTGCTTGCAGTGTTATATGTTTTTTTTAAAAAATGTTGAATAAAGATAGGGGAACATGAAAAATTATAAGGTTTTGAGCAGAAAGAAAAATTGTTCCTTTTTAAAACGTTGCTTGGATTAGCCTTGTGTCTTGGGGGGGGGGGGAATGGGCTTCTTTGCTTTGAAGATGATCTGTCAATAATGAATCATGACCCCCAATCAAACGGCCAGACTAGTTGTGAAAATAGCTGGAGAGGCTTCTCTTATTGCCTCTGAGCTGGAAAAATGCAAAGCCTTTCAGCTGGAATGAGCAGAGCAAAGTTAGTTTTCCTTTCTAGAAATGCCAGCAAGATTTCTGAAACTTTCTCATTGCGTTTGGAAAGGGTTTGTAATTGGATGAATACAGGGATGGATGAGAGATACTTGGCCCCTCCCTTTGTTTTACAAATTGGTTCTTTCTGAGTTAGGAGTTGTAATTTGAGACACAGCACTTCTTTCGCTGAAGAGAAAAGGGGGGTGAATTTGCCCCTTCCTGCAACTACCATGTGTCTTTATCAGGTTTTAAATTGGTTGGAGAGGGTCTCTTTTAGGGCTTTGTCTCCCTTCCAGATGAGCAGAGCAGAATCAGCTTTCGTTTCCATTTAAGAATACAAACAAGATTTCTCAAACTTTCCTACTGCGTTTGTAAAGGGTTTTAAGATGAAGTTTGGTTTCTGGCTCTCCTTCTTGTCATGCAAATTGAGTCTTTGAGATAGCAGGAAGACAAATTGAGCAGGGGAGAGGGGTGGGTGGGTTACTGGTTTGCAATTCTGCAGTTCAGAAAGAGTTCTCTTTGTCTCTAGCATGTGGGGGAATTCCAGCCCCTCCCACGAACCAAACAGCATGTAAAGGGTTCCATTGCTCAGAGAGAGAGGGGGAGGGAGGGAGGGAGGGAGGGAGGGAGGGAGGGAGAGAGAGAGAGAGAGAGAGAGAGAGAGATGATGAGAAAATGCAGGCTTAGGTTAACATTGCATATTCACTCCCGGCTTCAATATTACTTTGCTTTATCACAAATCCAAATTAACTGTCTTTATACTGATGGGCTTCAGGATTTCAAGATAATCTTTTTACTGTTCTGTATTCTGTACAGTGGTAGATTTGTCTTCTGTACAGATGCAGATAGATAAACTCCACAAAACATCCATACAAAGTACTTTTATTGGTTCATCAGGTATCCTCATGACTCACATTTGTGACAAAGTTCTTCTTTAATGACCAATCCTTTGCATATCTGTCTTGTAGGTAAAAAGATGGTTATCTGGTATCCTTTTTCTCTCATCTCGTAGCGGTAGAAATAGAACAGTTACCACGAGTACCTGAGTTCAGCCAAGAGTGAGGAAACCTCCCCCAACCCATCAAGGGTCAATTTAGTGACCAATCAGGATTACAGATGTGGTCACGTGACATGGACTACATTTCCCAGGATACCTTAACTACATTTACCATGATGCATTCCCTTAAGGGAACAGCTCACAATTGCTACCTAACTATCCAATTCCCATACACTGGCTGGACAGCACAGTCACGTCCAGCTGAGTTTTCTACCTTGGGTGTATATTATTGCAAACCTTGGAGTTCTGTCCCCCCCCCCCCCACATGCTGGCAATTACCATCCTTCAGGGGAGAGAAATGCCTTCTCTGTTTTATATGAGCAAGAATGATGGGAAGGTCATCCAATGTGCTTTTTTGGTTGGGGGAGGGGAGTCCTGGGGAAGGCTGGTGTGCTGGGCAATGCAGTCTTTCTTTGCTTTCATCCAGGTGGAGATGAGCTCTCAGGCTTCCCCCCCCCCCCAACCCCCAAATCCAGAAAGGAACTCAAATGTCTTCTGGAGATCCTTGGAAGCAATGGGAGTTGCCAGAAGCCCCTCAGGTCCCTCAAGCGGCCATGACCAAAGCAGCAGCAGGAGCTGCTAATGCAGCTGGAATCATAGGAGCATCCACAGAAGATTTCACTAGGAAACCTGTGGTGCTGGATGCGGCCAGAAGCCCACTGATCCTGTCTCTCTGGGCAGGCTGGGGCAGGAGCAGAATACAAGGGAATCCCCCTCCCCACTCCAGTGAGTCTCCTCCCCCATGCACTGGGATCAAGAGGTCGCCTGCCTTTGGCTTTGAGGGGTTCTGCACTTTGTCCTCTGCAAGAAGCCCTTAAACCCCCAAATTAGCAGCTGTGGGTGAGTGGAAGTCCAGAGCATGCCCTGTATCCCCCCCCCCCCGTGCCCTGAGCGAAAGGGACCACCAGGGAGAGAGAGAGAGGAGGGGCAGCTTTTAGAGGTTTATTCTTGAGGAAGGCAGGAAAAGTCAAAGGGGGCAGCTCCCAAGAACTGAGGGGTAATCCATGATCAGACCAGGGCAAGGGCGGGCTTAGCCATTCAGCTGTGGGGATTCCCGGCAGACCTCCCCCCTCTTTCTTCAATGGGGTCCCACTGCTGGATCGGCAGAGAACTGCTCTGCTTCTGCCATGCACAGCCTAATTTACCAGCACTATGCCAGTGCCAGTGCCCACCCTCACCAAGGACACTAACTGGGATACATTAAGAGAGGAGAGAGAGGGGGCTGCGCACTGCATCAAAGCTGGACTCGGGGGCTCTCGGACCAGCCTTCTCAGCAGGGGACAGGATGCAGCTATTGTGGGGGTGGGGGGGGGGGGGGGGGCGGTGGCCAACTCTGCTCAGCAGACCTAATTGCAGCTGAAGTTGGCACCTCCTTCGCAGCCTTAGTGTGGGAGCACTAAGAGGGATCTGCTTGGGCAGCCAGAAGCAGCTGCTGAAATCCCTCGCTGCAGGAGCAGCAGCAGGACCGGGTGCTGAATTCATCCGGGGCAGGGGGGAGGCAGCATTCCCCCCTGAGTTCACATCCAGTCCGGCCTTTGCTTCAGGCAGAGAAGGGAGGAGAGGGGGGGTTCTCCTCTCGTCCACCGCCCAAGCCACCCTCCCCCGCTAGAAGGGGGAGGAAGAAATAGGAAGAAAAATTCCCAGGCAGCCTGCGGGAGAGTCACCGGCCCCGCCGCCCCCCTTCTCCAATGGTTCCCCCTCCAACCACCGTGCTGGGCAGCCCTCGGGGACGCAGGTGGGGACGGGGACTCGCCATCTGGTGTCATCGGCCCGGCCCCCGCCCCCATCCCCGCGGCCCTTACCCAGTGGGAAGAGCAGCAGCAGCTGCAGCGCCGAGCTTGCGGGGCTCATCCTCGGAGCGGCGGCGCGCGGGGCTCAGCAGCTGGGCCGGGCGAAGGTCAAGTGTCCGTCCGGAGACTCATCGTCCTTGGGCAGCGGCGGGGTTCGGCTCCAAGATGGCCGGCTGGAGGGGCGGCGGCCACTGTGGCCGCCACCGCCACTACCAAAAACCGGGGGACAGAAAAATTCTTTGGTTGGTGGATTGCAAAAAGGATTCGGGAGGGCGGGAAAGGGCTGTGGCTAAGAACAAGCGGGAGGGTGGCCCTCGACGCGATTCTCTCCCTCCCCTCGTCTAGAACCATTGCATATAATCCAAGGATTATACAGTATCCCCCCGCCCGCCCCGCCCCCCCGCCGCCCAAGTAGCGGCTCCTACGGTTGCCATGGAAAGAGTTGTGGGTGTAACTTCTCACGCACACCGAGAAAAGAGGCAGCCGCAAAAACTCAGTTCGTGGGAGTTCCTTTGCTAGAGAGGCCGCGCAATTTGCGCCGCGATTCCAGTGAAAATCAGCCGCGAGAGCAGATGCTCCTGTTAGCAAACTTGTGCGGGTGGAGACGCGAAACAAGAGATTGCAGCGGGCTGTCTGCCCAAGCTCCGGCGGGGAGCTGCCCCCACGCGCTCCCACCCCTGCACCGCGACGGACTGAGCCGCGCTCTCGAGAGGGCCGGGGTGGGGGACTCCCGTCCGCCCCGGGTTCGCTTCTTTTAAGGCACGGGAGCGGTCAGTGGGGCTCTGCGGCGGCTCAGGTTCAGCCGCGCCGCTGTCCGTTGTCCTGCAGTCGCCGCTCGGCGTTTGCCTTTCCGCCCTAGGCTCGTGCAGGAGTCTGCATAGACGGCATGGGGCGGAGGGAGACGCTCCCGCCGCCCCCATTTCTCACCCGGCAGAGGGAAGAGGAGGCCCGAGACGGGAGCCTCCCTGGCTGGAGCCGGCCGAACTTCCTGCTCTGCTTGCAGGTCCGTGCAAGGACGGGCCAGGCTTCTTGCTGGGTTTCCAAAGCTCCCCTAGTTCCTCTTGGGATGCCCGGAGCGAGCCCGAGGGAGAAGCAGCAGGGCCAGTCCGAGCCCGGCCTTCCTTTTCTTCAAATCCCAGAGGTAGAGAGCCAACAGCAGCACCGATGCCCTAGATCTTCCGGGAGCTGCTCTACAGGCCTTTGTCAAGGGCAGGTGTGGTCGGTGGGCCATTGAACTTCAAGAGAGACTCCCCAAGCTGGACAGGCTCTAGCCCTCCGCCACCACTCCGTATGCAAGAGGACAAGAAATAAAGGCGAACCGATGCTGGAAAGGACACAGACCATCCTTTTCACCCAGGACTTCCTGGAACCGCTGCCTGATCAGCTTATCAACCGTTTTCCCTAGAAAGTCAGAGACTGGCCAAAAATTGTTTCCTATGGCTGGGTCAAGGGTGGCTTCTTAAGGAGGCAGAAATCCAAGGGCCCCTCCATCCCCACCCTCGTTGTGAAGGGCTGAATCCAACCCCTCCTCCCTTTACTGGCAGTTGCACAAGATGGGAGAACCAAGGAACCATGTTGGAGACCATCATCATCCTCTCCCTCCCTCTCTCTCTCTCTCTCTCTCAGTTTACAGGTTCAGTTTCCAAGGCACCATCACATCATCTCCTTGGAATCCAGAGTGCTAGTATCTGATTCCAAGTGGCTGTCCTTAAACAAGGCCAAAGACATGCTCCGTCAGGGCCCTGCTGCCATGGCTTAGAGCCAACAGTCATGTCCTTGGTTTCCACCAGTTTCCTTCCAGGCACCTCTCTAACGTTTCATTGCCTGAAATCCACATGCAGGGAGGGCTGGTCAGAACAAACTGCCAGGGCTTTCGCTGCCTTTGGAACTGAAGGTCAAACTGGCATCTGCAGAAGCTGCCCACCAGATTGTTGGGACAACTCCAAGTGTCCACAAACACCAGGAATAGAACTGTTGATTCTCTTGAAGGCCAAGTGAACAATCATTTTTCACCAAAATAAGAACCAAGAAGATAACCGTGGCCACTCACATTACTACTGCAACACATTTAGCACACAGTTATTGTCACTGAATGTAAAGACTATGCCAATGGCTCAGAGTAAACTCCAGAACTTCAGCCCCATAGCCACTCTAAGCTTGCGCGGAACTTAAACCCTCATTAAGGTGGCACAGAAGCACAGAATGTCCACAATGCCAGAACCCAACAGAGAGAGTCTGGACCCCATAACCTTCTGAGCCTCCATGTTAAGACAGGGGACCTTCACCAAACCATCCACTGCTCTCTAGGGAGCCCCACTAGCAGGACAGCGTATTCTCACTCCTGATATTTCAAGAACTAAGTTGCGGCCTCCCCCCCCCCCCCAATCAGAGCAACCTGGTTCTACCTGCTTGATTCCCCTTGCTCATTCCATGCACACGATGATGTCATCATCAGGCACAGCAGCTCTTGGAAGCATGGGGTGTGTGTGTGTGTTCTGAAGTGGTTCCGAAGGGGCCAGGTGTGATTGGCCCTGCTCACTGAGCCAGAGGGATGCCCCAGCTGGCCCCTCCCTTAAAGGAGAGAAGAGCAGCCAGGCTCTGGGTGGTAAACTGGGGAAGGGCATTCCTTTCCATTATCTGCAAGGATTTGTGCCATTTGGCTGGCAGCAGGATCCTGGCCTTTCACCCTTCTGGGCTGGAAAGTTATTCCGTCTTCAGCAGGCACTGTCCAAATCAAACACAGGGAAGATAAAGCACACAACTAGATGTGTGCTTTTCCCAATTCCTCCCCTGCCCCCCCCCCCCCCCCCCCCCAATGAATGATAGACCAGTTCTGGTCAAAGCAACAAGACAAAGAATAGATGGAGTTGGCAGAAGGCATTTTATTGGTTGCAGAAGGAGAGGCTCTCTGCAGAGAGGAGCTGGCCAAGGAAGAAATGAAAGGAAGGGTGGATCTGCAGGTGAAGGCCCTAAGGCCAGCGGTCCCAACTCTGAGGGTTGGCGACAGTCTGGACATTTAGCTTCAGCCGGTTCATATGCCTTTCCACGTGGAGGCCACAATGCTCCACAAGACCAGCTGGAGGCTTAAGAGGCCCAGCCCTCTTTCCACAGGAGGCCCAGATCCAGAAAGATATGGAGGCAGCTGCTGTAGACGTGTGCTTGCATCCAGCAATGGTCACACCGGTGGCCGACATTTACAGGGGAGTCCATGAAGAGCCCAATCCTGTGCCTTTAAGTTAGTCTTCACCAGGGGTGGGAAAAGACAGGGTTAACTACTGGTTGGGATTTACGAGGTTTGGTGATGCGAGCAGTGTGCCTGTAGAGCAGTGTGCCTGTAAATCGTCCCCTGTAAATTGTCATCAGCACGCTGTGTGCAGAGAAGCAGCCTTTGAAACAGCCCTCTTTTCTTGTTTTTTTAACTGCAGCTGTGCCTCATTCAGCAGCTGAAGTTGAAAAATCAGGAAATAAAGATCAGGTAAGGGCCCAGGTGGGTGGGTGGGCAAAAAAATCAGCAGACATAGAACCGGTTCTATGTCTGCTGCTCGTCAGAGCTACCGATTCTACGAAGGTGGACAGAACCGGTGGAAACCCACCCCCGGTCTTCACCCTCACCATCTCCTCTTCCAGCAGTGAGCTCAAATGACATGGGTGGTTTCTCAGGACAGAAAGAGCCCAGGGAAGGGCTTGGGACTGTCCTCACATTTCATGAGCAGAAGCTCATGAAGAAAGAGAAGGAGCCTAGCTGCCAGATAGACCCTCCACTACCCGCTCTTCCAGGCCTATTCACAGGGCAAGAGAAAGGCTAGAAAAGAGAAAATATCAAATCAGGATAATTTCTATAATGGAATGAAATCCGATCATTTTACTCCAGGAAAAGTTCCATTCATTGGACACTTCCAGAGCCGGATCTTAGTAGCGCTGCAAAAGCGACTCTTTCTCCCTCCCTCCGTCAGCATCAGTATGGCTCCTCCTCCTCCTCCTCCTCCTCCTCGGTGTCCTGGACAGGAGGGAAGGGACAGCTGTCAGGGAGGGAGGGAGGGAGGGAGCTGAGGAGACCCACATGCCCTTCGCTCAGCCCAGCCCTTTGGGTCACAAGTGTTGCTGGCTCGGGGATGAAGATCCCTTCAAGTCCTCTCCCCCCAGCAGAAAACATCTCCCTGCCCCAAATAATGCGAGCAGCCTGTGGGTCTCCCCAGCCAGCATTCAATTCACACAGGCCCGGCCAAGCCAAGCCACAGCAGGCGGACTCACCCCTCTTGCCAGCCATTGGCACGATGCCCAAGATTGGATGGGTAAGAAATGCCATTCGAAGGAAGACCTCTTCAGAGTTTGGCCCTGTTTTACACCCCTGAAAGTGGTGGCCGTGACTATTCCTGATGCTGGCAAACCTCAGAATGAAGCTTGGTGGAAGGAAGTCCTCTTGTATGGTTCTGAATCTGAGAGGTGCCTCGCCCTGATTCCAGGTAGTCTTCTACTTACGACAGTCCAATTTAGTGAAAAAAGTGACTTGTGACCATTGTTCACACTTATGACTGTTGTAGCACCCCCATGGTCACTTGGCCAAACTTTGAATGCTTGGCAACTGTTTCATATTTATGACAGTCGTAATTACCTGGGGTCATTGCTCATCTTTTGAAACTCTCTGACCAGCCAAGTCAATGGGAAAGCCAGGTTCACTTCATAAGCGTGTCACTAACTTAACAACTGCAGTGATTAATTTAACAACTATGGCAAGAAAGGTCATAAAATGAGGCAAAATTCACTTTGCACATGTCTTGCTTAGCAACAGAAATTTTGGGCTCCACTGTAGTCATAAGTCGAGGACTGCCTGTACATCTTTTCATCCCATCTGCTCAGGAGCAGAGCCTTCCCTGCTGGGGGCCCCGCCCTAGAGAGCATCATCCCTCTGCCCAGTTGCGGTGGGGGATTCTCCTACAGGGGATCCCGCCTATTGGCTGCCTCATGAGCAACATTCGGGTGCATTCCCTCATGACCTTGCTCTTATATTTAAGTGGCCTTTATGGAATATTTCAACTGTTGGTTTTATTGTGCATGAACTAAAATTAATTTGTGTGAGAAAGGCAGCTATATACACTTGATTGATTAATAAATAATAAACCGATCTTCTATGCTAGTAGATAATCTTCACTTAACCCCCTCAAATGGAACTGGCAACTCTACAACTAAGCAAAGACACGGCTAAATGGATTGGATTCTGCTTTCTGTCACATTTTCTGCTTTGTCTGCCCCTTTTGGAATGCTCTTGTACCAATGGAAACTAATGTAAAGGTCCTGGCAACCTAGGGCTGGGAGCCAGAGGTGTGGCACACAGTTTCTAGCACTCTTTTCAAATCTCTTCTTCTCTGCTCTGTGGAGGGAAGAGGAGGAAAAGGAGGAATCTCTTCATCCCTGACCCCTTTCCCTTTGCCAATGGGATTCCATTGCTTTCAATGTGTAGAAGAGCAAATGGCTTACTGTCTTGTAACTCCTTTCCAAACCACAAGAAGGGGGGGGGACCACAGTTCACACACACATGTTGTGTATTGAACATAATGGAAGTTACATGACAGGGATTCTGTGAAGGTCATAAATGGAATGTACAGTTATTTTTTTCAGCACCGTCAGGACTTCGAACAGTTGCTGAAGGAACAGCTGGTAAACGAAGATTATGTATGATTCTAAGTTACAACATTTGCTGGGAGAGGAAGGACTTTTCTCTGTCCACATTTTCTTCTCTGCCAATAAGTTTCATATCTCCAGCAGGTCTCCCCTCGCTCCCAATTACAGAGCCTTGTTGGCATCTCCTACAACCTTCTACTTAGTCTCTTTGGGTCACCTTTCTGAGCTCAGCGACCCTCCAGGCAGCCTGAGGGCAGTCTAAGCACTCTGCCAGTGTCTGCTGGTTCTCAGTGGGGAAGAATGAGAGAGATGCGAGCAGGGATGAGGCTGTACCCCTGCTGACTTCCCAGTGAGAGGATGCAGGAATTGGTGCTTCCATAACATGTGGGGAAATGCAAAAGATTTCTCTCCTAATGACCTTTTGGCTTACCAGGCACTGCAAACAACAGCTAACCAGCCGCTCCCTGCAGCCCCTTTGCTCAGGTCTGTAGAAAAAGAAGAGAGAAGCAACTAGCTCCACCACCAGCCCAATTGTTGGCCCCTCTGCTCTCCTTCTCAGCTCCCACTTGCCCTGGGGTGTAGCAGAGGGAGGGCCATCTTTACCTCCCTTAAGAGGCAATCAGTCCCTCTGCCAAGACTCAACCCCTCCCCTCACCGCTCTTACTCTTCGATGGAGGCTTCGATGGAGGACTTCTTGCAACCAAGCTGCCTACTTGGTTTCATCAACCCAGATTTCTGATTCATCCGAACCAGCAGCAGAACCACCACAATGCCAGAGGGAAGAAAGACCAGGATGGAAAGCAGTCCAGATGAGGTCAGCTGGAAGGAGGGACCTTTGGAAACAGAGCAGGATGGGGCAGGCGGAGCAAAGCTCCCTCCTGCCGGCTGCTAGAGGAAGCCCTAGGTGAGTCTATAAGAGCCTCCCAGGCCCATCTGCAGCACAAAGGCCAACGTTAGAGACTAGCGCAGCACCCCAAACTGGAAGACCCTCTGCAGGGCAGGCAGAAGGATGACCAGCCTGAGCCAAGAGGAGCAGACTTTCAGGAAGCAGCTGGCAGTGGCAATGCGGGGCCTGCCACACCCTCCCCCTCCTGCCCAGGGCCCCGGGGCCTCTGTTTTACCTCTCCGACTGACGGTCAGCAGGGTTTGAGGGATGTTGTGCTGCACATCAGGGGGATTCTTCACAGTACAGGTGAATGTCCCGTTATCCTCCAGGGTTGGGTTCCAGATCATAATGGAAGCATCCTGCTTGGACACATCGCCAGCCCAAGAAACTCTCTCCTGGAAGCTCCCTCTCTTGGCTGGGTAGGCACCGGACTGGTAGTGGAAGACCTGGGGGAGGGGAGGGTAAGCCAGAGCAGAAGAGCCCACAGCAACCAACTCCCCCAGGGAGAAGGGGTCACCCGGCTGCCCGACTTCCTCCCGTGGACTGTGCCACTTCAGGGCCCCCAAAGCAGCAGAACCAGGGCCCTCCCGCAGCTCACCGGTTCCAAGTTTCCCCCGGCAAGAGGCCGGTAGGTCCAGTCGATGGTGAGCTTCTCTGTGACCGGAGCGGAGGATTTGAACCGGCACTTGAGGGTCACCGGCTCGCCCACAAACGCGCGAACTTGGGCAGCGGCCTGGATCTCCAGCAGGTGGACTCTGGCAACCGCTGCAAGCAAGCACAGCCGCAGCGCCGGTCAGCCTCCCGGCCGCAGCCCCCCGGGCCCTCTTCCGCCGCCTGTCTGGCACCGGAGCCCATCGGGAGGGAAAGCAGACCTCCGCGGCGGGGCTTCGGAGCGCGCGAAAGCCGAACCCCCGCCCGAAGCCGCCTTCCCGGGCCCGCCGCCCTCCGGTCCTGGGTGGCAGCCGGGCGGGCCCCTGGCCGAGGCCTCCGCCGCGACCCCCTCCCCAGCTCGCCGTCCTCCCCGTCTCGCATCCACGCCGTGCGGCAGCCCTGCTCACCCAAGAGGAGCAGAGACAGTGCGGCCGCTCCGCCGGGCTGCTTCCGCTCCAGCCCCATTTTCCGGGACCTGCCGCACCTGCCCGGCCGGCCGGCCGGTGAAGCCGGAAGAGGCGGGCCCTGCTCCGAGGAGCTCTGCCAGCGCTGGCAACAGGGGCGCCCCGCTTCTCCCGCCGCGGCTCTTAGGAAGTAGGGCCGGCCGCCCCCCGCGCCCCTCCCCCCGTGAAGGTTCGGGAGGAACCGGCAGATCTCGAGTGGATCCGGCCAAGAAGGCGAAAGAGAGCAGGGACCCCCGTGGGGAGGCCAGACGTCCGGCAGCGGTCAAGGCGCTTCGGCCGCTTTTCAATCTCCTCCGGGGGCGAAGCTGAACTGGAGAAAAGAGGCGGGCAGGGGCGGCGGAAACTCCCCTGATGTCCGGCAACTTCCCAAGAGCGATTGCTGGGACAATAACCGCATCCCGACTCTGCGTGTGCGGATGAAAGGTCGAATCCGAAGCAAGGAATGGAGATTCGGCAGCTCTTGAAGGAGACTCTTGGCCCGGGTTGCGTCCTTTGCCTCAGCCTGGGTTTGCTGCTTGGGCCCCAGCTTGGCCGCCCAGGACTTGCTAGACCTGAACCAAACCACTCCTATGACCGTCTCTGGAATGCAACAGCCCAGCCGGGACTGCTGGTAATCACCTCCCATCACCTGACCAAGAAAAGGAGAATCTAGAACAGGAGCCTGTCTGTGCCAAAATGCGTGATATAATTTCATCATGGAGGTGAAATTGTGTTTTTCTTTTCCTTTTGCCTGGTGTGCAAAAGAGGCTCCAGCAGCCACTTTTGGCCCTTGGTCTGCAACAAGTTCTCCTTCTCAGCAAGGTGGAGCAGGCTGGGTTTGGCCAGGAAGCCCTTCAGCTGCCACCCCAGAGCCTCAAATGAAGATCAGCCAACTGCACCCACTGAGGTCTCACTCCAGAGGCCACTGGAGGACAAGGGAGTTTGACCCAGGAGAGGCAATGACACCGGTGGGTGGTTTCTTAGGCGGCATTGCCCAGTCCTCCCTCCCTCCCTCCCAACCAACCAGCCCAAGTCCAGACACTGCCGGAGACTCCTCCGTGCTACTTCGCCTCGATCTGCCACTCCCCCTCTTAGTTGCCCCCCTCCCCCAGTCGATCTGGGTCTCCCCCTTGCTCCTCCTGGGCCTCTGAGCAGGAACTTCTTTCTGTGCTCCCTCCCAGGACTGTAGTTTGCGGAATCCTCTCTCCTGGGGCCGTCTGACTTCAAGGATGGCACCATTGATCGGGATGGGGTTCCGTACTACATTCCATTAAGCTAGATGACACTCACTTTTAATCCCAGGCAATTGTATCTTTATTATAAAATATTCCATTTGCATACAAAATTTAACAAGACCCTTTAAATAAATTAGTGTATGAAAGTGTGTCACCTAAGGATATGAAAGGGTGGCCCGTAAGAAATCCAGCAGACAGTCCTCTAATATCTGAAGCTTCCGAGTTTTAGAGGTAGTTGTTGGTAGGGTCACTATAATGGTGTTGCATAAAAGGGGCTCAGTGGCCAGAGAATTGTTTTTTGTCCAGGGCTCTTAAACCCTCCCAAAGGAGAAAGCAAACTCTGGTTTTAAGGAAAGATTTGTGCTGTCAGCCTGGGCTGGAGAGCCGTAAAGGACACGGAATGGCTGCACCAAGACCTTCTGCCTGCACAAAATGAGGCAGGGCTCCTGCTACTCCAGGCAGGCCACAGAAATGGGGCTTTGATCCTGTTGGAAGAGGAGACCCTTCCCTAAGTGGTTGGGGGCTCCCCCTTGGCTTTGGCCCAGGAAAGAGAGCAGAACAGTTGGCAAAGTGCCCTCCCCCAAGCTTGGCCTGGCCAGTCTGTCTTGACCAGATCTTCTGCTGACCCACCCAACTTGGTGGCCAGTGGCCCTGAGGTCTTCAGTCACTGAGCCAAAGGCAATCCATACTCCAGGTGGGCAGGGGAGGGCGACTGCTTCAGACACATGGAGGAGACCAGCTAGGGGGCAGACCTTTGGCGTCATGTGGGCGGCAGAGGTGAGGTCTTGTCTCCTGCAGGCCACAGCGTCCATGGGTGGATCTGGGAGAGAAAAGCACACAAGAAGTTATTGTGGGTGATGCGCCAGGCATCACCCACAATTGCACTGTGAGGAAGCTTGAGTGGCCGCAGCCCCTCCATCCCTGGTTTCTCTTGGAGGGAAAGGAAACTTCAGCCTCCCACCTCCATCTTGGAGTAGCTGGTAACAGCTCCTGCCTGGTGCTGGTCCAACCCCTCCAGCTCCAGCATCCTTTCCTTACCAAGACCGATGGGCCCCCTCTCCGGACAGGGGGGTCTCCTTTTCCTCTCCGCCTGCCTTCAGCTTCAATTGCTCTGACCTATTTGAGAAGAGGGGAAGAAGGGCAACAACCGCAGGTCAGGAGGCACAAAAGTGGCTGCTTTGTGAGATGGGGCAGGACAGCTGGGTAGCCACCACTGGCTCAGGTTGCATTCAGGGATGTTTTGGGGGGTGCTCTGGTTCCCTAGGCCTGCTGGGGGGCTGCAGCCACACCTGCCTTTTACTGCCAAGCCATCCAGGGGAGGCAAGGGGGTCTTTTTTGGGGGGGGGGACGACTCTGGCTGCAGGAAGCAGAGGGAGAAAGTGCCCTGTCTTGAACATTGGAATCAGATGTGGCACTGTACATGTAAAGCACCCACAGAGTCGATCAATAATTAGCTGCCTCCCTCCTGTGTGAAGGTCGAGGACATTCATTCATTAATCTCCTGGGTACAGTCTCTGATGAGCCCACTTCAGTCTGCTGGGCAGCCTCAACTCAGCCATTTGCAGGGCTCTCCGTGGCGTCTGGATTCTGCTGGGTGAATTCAGACCATGCCAGCTCCTCCTCAGCGGAGCCCCATTCCCACCACTTGCACAGTCCTCTGCCACAAAGGAGTGCCACCCAGGAGGCCAGTCCCTCCCTGCAACTCACTTGCCCACCTCCCTTGTCTTGTCTTGCGGCATCCTCCGCCAGTGACGCCAGATCACCACGACCACCACAAGGAGGACCATTGCAGCACAGGAAATGCCAATGGTGAGGACCAAAATATGCACCTCCGAGAAGCTTCCTATCCAGAGACAACAGGAGGGCCGGTGAGGAAGAGAAAGACAAGTGTAGCAGTGCCAGCCCCCTGCAGCCCACCTGGCTCACTCACTTTTCAATACAACACTCAGCCGGATCTCGCCAATGATACCGTCCACATCAGGTGGGTTCTTCACATGGCACTGGAAGGTCCCGTTGTCCTTGGGGCTCACATTGTGGAGCATAATGGAAGCGTCATTTTTGTGTACGTTGCCATCCCAGGTGATTCTGTCTAGGAAGCGGCCTGATTTGGAGGGGTAAGCCCGGTGGTTGTAGTAGAGCACCTGAGCACAGCCAAGAGAGCACCAGTTAGGCAGCTCCTAGTCTTCGCTTAGCAGCATCTCTTGCACCCAGGTCCAGAGAATTTCTCTTACTGCTTTGTGAAAGGACTCTGGTGAGCTCTGGGCAAGGGAAGGACCCCACCCAATGGCTATGATGAAGCGGGGATGCGCAGTAGCCAGGGGAAGGCCTGGGGGGGGGCTGGGAAAGCTTCCCTGAGCTCCTCTGCAAGAGGGCCATCCAGTCAGCCTGCGGGGAGTGTGCCTGGGGCTTGGGGGACTCCAGACCTGCCTCTCAGGGGCAGCTACCTCTGCCTGAGTGGGTGGGCAGGAGAGGCTGGGCCGGGGCTCCAGCAAACAGGCCCTGAATGCCTTCTGGGGATTCTGCCTGCTGAGCCAAGGGGCCCAGGGAAGCACAGGCCGCTCTGCCAAACGCTTCCGAAGGAGCGGGGGACACTCTTCTTTCTCCCCAGGTGCCTCGGAGCCGAGCCCCCACCCCACCCGCTGATGACCCTCAGCAGCCTCTCTGCCCCGCCGCACCGCAAGGGGACTGACCGCCTCCAGAGGCTCCTTCAGCTCCGACTGGAAGTACCAGGAAACTGTCAGCTTCGGACCCGCCGGGACTGGACTGCGGAAGGTGCACTTCAAGCGCACGTCGGTCCCGTTCAACGCTTCCAGGGTGCCAGGGGTGAACGTTTCCAGAGCCGCCACCGGCCCGAGCGCTGCGGAAAGAAGCAGAGGGAAGGGGAATGCCGACGGCACCTGGCGGAAGGAAGGAAGGAAGGGCCCAGAGCCGCCGCTTCCTGGAGGTGGGCGCTGCCCGCTCGGCGCAGAGGGGAAGGAAGCCGCTGAACAGGTCGCGGCTCCGACGGGTAGGAACTCGTCGGCCGGTGACGCCGCCGCCGCCGCCGCCCAGGGCAGCCCCGGGCGTGGCGGCCGGGGTCCGCAACCGCTGCGGGGGCGGCCTAGAGGCGGCGACTCCGGAAGAGCCAAGGAGCCTTCCTCGGGGTCGGGATCGGGGTCCGCAGCGAGGCGGCCCAGCCGGGACTTCTCGGCGGGGATCCCGTGCCTTGCATCGCCGCTCCGGGGGGGGGGGGGCAGGCTTGTCTTACCGAGCAGAAAGAAGCCCCAGGCCGCGGGTCCCGCGCGCCGCGATGCCGGGGGGCCCATGAGCGCCTGCCTCTGCGGGATCCGGCCAGCCGCTCCGCCGAAACGCCTCCCAAACCTGGAATGGGCCGGGCGCGTCCCGCAAGGATTGGGAGCCTCCCACGGGCCGCCCAAGGAAGAGCTCACCTGGCCCCCGCCCCCTTTCTCCAGGCTGTCGCATGCCTGAGCTGGGCTGGGCGCCACCGACCGGCTCCCCGCTCGCGGGGCTGTTCTGCGGGTCCCCTTGCACCGGAGCGAGGCGGAGACGGCCTCTCCGAGGAGCCGCGCCCCACGCTCTTTCCACAGGAGCCCCACTCGTTCCTACCCCTGTCCCGGAATTTGGGGAAAGTCCTAGAATTGTTAGGGACCATCGAAATAAAAGGAGATTCTCCCGCAAAAGGTAGTGCCAAGCCGGCCCGAACACGAGGGGGGATTTGTTCACTGCAAGTGTTTATTGCCAGGATTGTTGATTGTCTGCATTGCAAGAAAGAGAGCCCCCACTACGGGGAAAGGCAAGATTTGGATAGACGTTAGGACTACGAGGCAGGAAGTCTTTGGGGTCTGATTGGCTGGCCATTTGGGGAAACTGGGGAGGTCCTTGTCGGGGGGGGGGGGTACCTGGGTGGGTGAGTCCTGGCCTCAGGCACAGGGAGCCTTTCCACTGCCAGCAGAGCTGGAAAGGTTGGGGTTCTTCATCAGGTTGTAGAGGGGCCTTGCCTGGAGCCGTGTGTGTGTGTGTGTGTGTGTGTGTGTGCGAATTTGAGTCTGAAGGGGTTGGGCAAAGAGAAGACAGGGTGCAGCCTCCATTTTGTTTTTTTGATTTATTTTCAGCCCTACACTTCTGGTACCTCCAAACAGCAAACTAAACATTGAAGTATCTCTTAAATGCTCTCCCCTCCCCCATCTTCCTAAGAAGCAGTTCTTGTGAGTGGGGATGCTCGGGGAGCTGTCTGCACATGCTCAGAAGGCTCTCTCTTTACCTGAAAAGAGGCGCTTAAGTTTGGCCACTATCTGAGGCCATCAGGCTGAACTCAGGTGCATGCCAGCCCCAAAGGCAGCAGAGGAGGAGGGCCTTAAGCCCAGGCCTGGCAGGGCCAGGGGATGATCCCAGGGAGGCACTGTAGTGCCTGATATCAAAGCCTTGGCTGTGCTGTGCCTGCTTGCCACAGGACAGTCGCTGCCACACCTGCTGGAGTGGCAACTGCTGTACAGGAGTGGATGTTGGTCAGGGAGGGCTTGCCAGCTGTGATGACCAGAGGAACTCAAACTGGAGGCTCCCGAGGATATCAACCAATTGTTCTTGGCAGCCAGCCGTTTGGAAGGAGTTTGCCTTCACTTTCTTCCATCACAAATTTTATATTGTGGTCCCTTGGATTGACTGCTGAGCCCCCCCACCCCCCACCCCCGAAGCACCAGCTGGGCCAACCTGCTCTAGTTCCCAGCTGGGCCTCCAGTCCAGTGGCCCAGAAGCTGTTCCTGCCAAGACATCGGGCAGTAAATAAGGGCTAGTGTGTGTTTGGTGGAGGGACTGAAGAGACGGGGGGGGGGGGAGGGCCTTTTGGGCCTCACAGCCTGTGACTGCTTCTTCTGTGTTGCTGGAAGAGCCCCCCCCCACACCAGTCCCCAGGTGAAATCTCCTGCAGGGGGGGCAGCTGAGCAGTCCTGGCTCCATCTGTACCTTCACTGAGCCTAGGCAGCTTGCTCCTCCTGCTTTGCCGGAGCCCCCACTTCCTGGCGGGCTGGGCCCACAAAGGGTTTCTTTCTCTTTCTTTACCGATTGCTCAGCCGTGTTCTCAGAGCCCTCCTGGAGGGAGAGAGGCAGCACCGCAGAGAGTGGGAAGATGCCTCTGGGGCTCCCTTTGGGCGCCTTGGTGCTGCTCCTGTTCCACCCAGGTGAGTGCCGTGAGGAGGGCTGGGCTGGGGCCCCATCTGGGCTCCTGCTTATTCCAGCAATCGGTCCGCCTGGCTTCTGGCCCTGCCGGTCAAGCTCTCCTGGGGCCCAGCCACATGTTGTGAAGGGAGGCAGCCGCCTTGTTTGTGCACATGGCTGCCTTCCCCACAGCCTCAGGCCTGACAGCCCCAAGGACGCCACCTCCCCTTCCAGGCAACAGGTCGATCTCCATGACCAGATCCTCTAGAAGAGGTTTTCCTGCCGTACATTGGCGATTGTGTGTTGGGTGGAGGAGAACTTTTTCTAGAAATCACAAATCATTTCCCAACTAAATGTTTTCCACCTGGGTTTTGTTTTTCAGAGCAGGTGGTCAATCATTTCCTCCCCTCCCCCTAGTGCAGGTAATCCTCAACTTACAGCCACAATTGGAACTAGAACTTTTGTTGCTAAATAAAGCGGTCGCTAAGTGACTCACATTGAATTTTGTGACTTTTTCAGCTGCAGTTGTGAAACAAACCATGCCATTGTGAAGCAAATCCGGCTTTTCCCATTGACTTTACTTGTTGAAACCCTCTGGGAAAGTTTCAAATGACAATCATGTAACTGTGAGGATGCTGTGGGGGTTATAAGTGCGAGGACTGGTTGTAAATCACTTTTTCAGCCAGCCCTGTCATAACTTCAAACAGTTGTAAAACAAACGGTTGTAACTGAAAGACTACCTGAAATCTCAGGGTGGTGCCTGGGGCAGATTCCAAGGGTGCCAAGAGGCTGAGTGGTGGAGGAGGGGGCCTGGTGGGTAGGGCTGACTCCCTCGAGTGGGGGGAGAGCTCTCTCTTTCCCGCTACGGGGGTCCCTTTCCTCAGGAGAGCCCTGGAGGGGGAGGAGCACACACGGGAGGGTCTCTAGCTGCATGATGGAGCGGAGCCTCCTCTTCAAAGTAAGGTCCACAGGTCCTCTTTTAAACAATGGTGGCCTAGTTTGGCATAGGAGCCACCTGACCCTGCAAAGGAAGCTTCTGGAAGATTACACGATGCAAACATGAGAGGCCTTGTGATGCCTCAGTCTTCGGTGCCAGGCAAGAAAACCAATGCCCACCCACGCTTTCCGCTGCCTTTTCCTGGGTACGGCTGCAGTGGTGCCCACGAGGGGCTGCTGGGTGATTCCTCCAGAAAGCTGTTAGAATAATTGCCCCAAGTCTGATTTGGGGGCTGATTGGATGGAGCAGCCGCTCCGTTTCAGGGGCTTTGGGGGGAGCAACCTGGCCCACAGCCTTGTCCTCCAGCTTTGGTCAGGCTTCATAAAAGAAACGGCTTTTAAGGTGCGGAAGGGAGCAGCTTTATTCTGGAATCGATGGCCGTTACGTGCCGGTGAGAAGGTCTTCACTGTGTTTTTTTCTTCTTTTCACAGCCAGGCAGGCGGAGGGACAGGTTGAAGGTAAGGAAGGGAGCGGCCTTGGGACTTTGGGGCATTGCTGGAAACAAGCCAGAAAGGGAGCAGCAGCTGTTGTCCATGCAGTCATCAGGGACTGCCCCCCCCCCTTGCCCCAAACACACAGCTGCAGTGTATTTACCTGGGTGGGTTTGTGGTGGCTGAGGAGGCATCCTTGCCACCAGGATGAAGAAACTGGGAGGCTCCAACGAGGCCCAGCCTCTGTCCCGGCTCCCCCGGGGTGTGTGGGGGAGGGGGTGTCACTCTTTTGAATGAAAATGGACGCTCTCAGGGACATGGCATAGCCGCCCTCTTCCATGTCTCTTCCTCTGAAGAAGCTCAGGTTAATGACAGTCCAGGAAAGTGTTTGGGGATGGTTGCAGAATAAGAATAGCAACGTCTGTTCAAAGGTAAACTACTGTAAGTTGTCTTTTAAAACTGCCAGTGACTAACACCTGTGGCAAAGCAGACAGGCTGCCTGTAAGGATGCCAGGCCTCTCCCTGAACGTGCATGTGGGGCAAAGAAAAAAGCCACAAAGCCTCGACTGGGAAGAAGGGAGAGAGATGTTCCCTTGGTGTGTGTGTGGGGTGTGTGTGCTGTGGGGCACTAGCTCATAGTCTTGGCGAAAAGACAGCCACACTGCTCTTCCCAGTGAGAACCTGCTGGATTATCTGCCAGGGTTTGTGCCCAGAGCTGCCAGGTAGACTCTTTCTGACTTGCCGTAGAAATCAAGGTGGAACTCTCTTTGGGGAAGGTGTTTCTCACGTGCCCGGGAAAGGAATTCGATTGGTGGGACATGAAGTCCGATCGAGGACGCACGAAAACCCTGAACTTCTCCACCCCAGACGATCAGCTCGAAAGAGGGTGGATTTTTTTCTGTGGGCAAAAGAATGCCAAATTCTGGAAGATTTACCTGCAGATCAAAGGTCAGTCATGGCTTCTCTGCCCTTGATGGGGGAGGGAGGCTGCTCAGCAGCTTGAGTTGCCTGGTGGCCAATCCCACCCCCCCCTTCTAGTCCCAGGCAGCCAGGGCAGAGAAGACCCTTCCTGCAAAGCCAGGCTGGCAGAGCTCCCTGTTCAGCTGAGGCTTTGGGGTTTCCTGCAGGGTGCAAGGACTGTGTGGAGCTGAGCTTCGGCCTCGGGGCTGGCATCATCGTGGCTGACCTCCTGCTCACACTGGGAGTCCTGCTCCTGGTCTACTTCTGCAGCCAGAAGCAGCAAGCCCTCTTCAGGCCAGGTGCCCCACGGCGGCTGAAAGGTGAGTGCCTCCCCCCACCCCCTCCGCAACTGCAGGCCAGGTTTTAAGCACGGTGCTTTGCAGTTTGGAGGAGTCTGAGGGGTGAGGGTAGTGCAACAACCAGGACAGCAGATGATTTTGCAAGCCCAGGCAATCACAGCAGGATAAAAGGACAGTGTGTGGGGGGGTGGGGGGGGAGAGAGAGAGAGAGAGAGAGAGAGAGAGAGCGGAGCGAGAGAGCAGCGGAGGCGCGGTTTTTTTTTTTTTTTTTTTTTTTTTTTTTTTTTTTTTGGCGGGGGCTGATCTGTTTGCTGTCCTGGAGCAAAAAGCAAAATGCAAAGTTCATTGCCTCTGCTGTTCTCTGGCTCAGCTCTCTCTCTCTCTCTCTCTCTCTCTCTCTCTCCCCCCCCCGGCAGCGCAGGCCCGGAGGAGGGGGGCGGGGGGGGGGAGGGGGGGGGAGAGAGAGAGAGAGAGAGAGAGAGAGAGAGAGCTGAGCCAGAGAACAGCAGAGGCAATGAACTTTGCATTTTGCTTTTTGCTCCAGGACAGCAAACAGATCAGCCCCCGCCTGTCCCAAATCCAGATTATGAGGTAAGCCCTGGACTGAATATGGGATTGGGGGGGGGAGTCCACAGTCCCCTGTGCAGCATCTCAAGTACTGGAGGCCAAGGGTCGGAGCTGCAGAGGGGAAACAGGCACTTGCTCCCCCCCCCCCCCCCCCAACCCCCCCCCCTGCTAAGGCCTATTGCCTAAGTGAGGAGCCAGTTTTAGAATAGGATAGGACGGGATTCTTCGTTGGCCAAGTGTGACTGGACACACAAGGAATTTCTCTTTGGTGCAAATGCTCTCAGTGTCCTTAAGAGAAAAGATACATTCGTCAAGAGTCATCAGGGACAACACTTCATGATAGTATCATAGGCTACGATAAGAATAAAATAGAAATAGGATAGGATTCTTCATTGGCCAAGTGTCATTGGACACACAAGGAATTTGTCTTGGTGCAAATGCTCTCAAATTTAGTGAATTTCATCAGCATTGACTTTTACGTTTGGGAACAGATCCCAAAATGACTTTTCCCCCTACTTTGGTACTGGCAGGGTGGAACAAAAATTCGACTGGGAGATTTAGTTCAAAGATTATTTGGGTGAATCTCTGAATCAATTTGCTTTTCTCAATTAATTTTTAAAATCTAATAACCACATTAGAAGCTACATTGTGATTTTTTTTACTTACCAGTTTAGAAAATGTAACATTCCAGACACATCTTTATGATTCCCCCACTTAAAAAAAGAACCGAACATGGCTTTAAACTCTACTGCGTATGGAAGCCACGGTTTCCTGATACGTATTACACAAACAACTGCAAAAACAATCAAAAGCTTTTGAGAGAAAAGAGCCTCAGAATCAAGAGTCTGTATCACATACAGCGAGTGGGGTCCTCACTTTGCCAATGCCCCTCTTAAACACACACAGCCAGCATCCTAGAAAGTAAGGCCAAGTTTGCCAAAAACATGTTCTGTTCCTACAGCCGATCCGGAAGGGCCAACGGGAAGTGTATGCTGGTCTGGGGCCCCAGGCTTCCTGAGGTGCTGCCTCGCTTGCCATGGCAAGATGCCAGATGTTCCGGCTGGCCATGAGAGTCCCAGAAGTGCCTGCCTTCTCCTCTTTGCACTAACTGCTGACCTTCCTGGTGGGGGGGGGCTCCCTGTTTGCGCCGAGCTTTGCCGCTAGAAAATCGGGTGGCCTGGAGAGCCCCATCCCCGGTGGAGCAGAGAGCTGCGGGATGACTGCAGGTCTCACCTGGGCGAGAAAGGGGCACCCTAGGAGCCTCTTCCCTTGTGTGGGGCCACTCAGCCACAGCACTGCTACTCCAAGGGCATGCAAACTCTGTGGCTCCCGTCCCGTCCCCTGGGCAGGGCCTGCTGTTCTGGCTGGGGGTGCCCAGGGACCACTTGTGGCCAGGTCTCCCCTAGAGCCCCTGGTCCATTTGTGCTTCAGGAGTCCTAAGCCCACTTGCCCTGGCAGGGGACGCCACGAGGGCCTGCTTTTACATTTGTTTGGCTTGTGCTTGCAAAGAATCCTAGTAAAGCTCTCTTCCATTCACCCCAGACGCCTCCTGTGCTTCTTCTTCTCTGATAATACGGGTATTACTGGAAACAGACTTGGGGAAGTGGGGGGGCAGAGAGAAAACGAGGTGGTGCAGGAGTGACTAGCCAGACATGAAAGCCCAGGTCTTCTCTGCTTTCCCAGCCACCCGCAGTGCCCCGCTGGGAGGGGAGCCCAGGTCACATAGCACCCCCATAGTCCCAAGACTGGCAGTGGGCCTCCCTCCCTCCCTGCCTGAGGACCAGCCGAATGAACCCGTTGCTGACGGTGAGAGGCAGCCCCGCGAAGGCTCCAGCTGCACCAGGAGGTCCCTCAGCACAAAATCTGGCAGTTGCAGGGGGGAGGAAAAGCTGGGGCCCCACATCGAAACCCCCCCCCCCCCGCCCCAGGTGATGTGCTCATTCCACAGGATGTGGTCAAAAGCAAACACAGCTGCACTTCAAGAAAGGCACAAACCACCACCCTCTGCTGCCCTATGAATCACCATCCGGGGGTGGCTACACCCTGGTGCAAATGGCTGACTCCATGGCATTTGCACTCCAACTCCATTGTAGCCCTTTGAGTCAAACATCACCATGTTAGAGAGGAAGTTGCAAGCAACACCTTTTATTGGGGGGGGGGGGGGGGGGGCGCCGTGGGGGGGGGGGGGGGGGGGGCAGGACGCCGAGGGGAGCAACGCCAGGGACCCAGTTTCAGCTGCAAAGGGAAGGATGGAAGATGAACCGGCCCACTTGGGTTGCCAAGAAAAGACGTTCTTCTTCTTCTGATCGGCCACCACATTCCCAGCATTGCACCCGAGGGGATTCATCAAACTAGCTTAAAGCAGGCTGCCCCCCCCCCACAAGCCCACACTCTTCAGGTTAACAAAGAAGAAAATGGAATCCAGCAGCTCCGACAGCTCCAGCAGGCCTCCGGCTTGAGGCCCTGGAGTAGAAGGCAGACACAGGCGGAGGGAGGGCTCCACAATTCCCCACCTCAGCTGACCTAATGGACGTCCCTCGGGGATTGAGCGCAGGAAGGGGAACCCGAAGGCGGCTGGAGAACGGCGTCATCGGCGGCGAGGCTTGGGGATGGCAATGTGGCTGTATGGCCTGTCGTTGCGCTCCTGGAGAGGCTGAAAGGAAGAACACCTACCCTTAGCTCTGCCTGTGTGGGCAGAGCACACTTCTACCACTTTGGGGGCCAAGAGCCAGCAGCGGGTGAGGAGGCGGCGGCGGTGGCGGCTCTGGGAAATTTGGCCTGGTCAGGCAGGTAGGACACTGCTCCACCAGTCTCCCACACGACCCCTGGCCCTCCAGTTTGGGGGGCCCATTTAGCGGCCCACACAGCTTGCTTCCCTTCTGGTGTGGTGGCTCTCTCTCCGTTGGCAGGGAGGGCAGAAGGTGTGCCAGGGTTTCTGGAAGGGAAATCAGCACCGTGGCCCCAGGGTGGCCAATTGCACCCCTGGAATGCATTTCACTCTTACGCGGAATTGTTAACTGTGGGTCCTTTGACAACCACGCTGGATCCTCAAGTAAAATCCAGGATTTGCCCAGCAAGCAAAGCCAAGCGGGGACTGGAGCTCGTGGTTCTGGGTGTTGCCAAACAGCTTATTAGGTCTGGATGAGGACAGGCTTGGCGGAGTCTGCTGTCCTTGGGGCAGCCTTCCCTGCTAGGGGACCCTCTGTGGGGCTGTGGCTCTGGAGATGCCCAAGAGGTCGGCAGACTCTTTGTCAAAGCCATCAGTGACTAGGAGAGCAGCTAGTTTTACTCAACGATTGGGCACAGGTGTGCTCATGCCTGGTTCTAGCTCTGCCCCATCTCTAGTCTGCTGGGATACACAAATGGCCCATATTCATCCAATCTTCTAGTAGGTCTTCCACTTTCTGTGGGATGAACTGGCCAGTCTCTGATCTGACACAGAAAGGAAAAGCCGAAAGGAAGCTCTCACCTGGTACAGCTGGTCGTTGGCCAACAGGCTCTGCTTATCAGAAGCTGCAGGATCAAAATAGGAAGACTGAGTCCACAGGGAACAAACCAAGAGCCCAAGAGAGCAGTGTGGGGGGGGGGGGGGGGGGGGGAAATCTCTGAGGCAGGCAAGAAACGGGAGTGGGCACTTGAGCTGTAAATAAGGTGGTCTTTCCTTCTGGAGAAAACCACCATGGCCCTTTCAAGAAGTTGCTTAGCTCCCCTTTCCTGCCACCTCCTCACCTTGGGCTGGCTGGCCCCGCTCTTCCACAGCTATGTGGTACACAGCGATGGCTAGGAAGACTGTGGCAAGGAGGCTGGCGACTGAAACCCCCAGAATCGTGGTGAAGTCCAGATGGATGCAGTACTGGCACACTGTAGTGAAACAAAACGTTGAAGATACACTCTGCGCTCCCCCACAGAGGCCTCGCCCAAGCGGAGCAGGTGTCCTTTTATGGCAGAACTGCCACAAGCTGCCCTCGCCCATCAGAGGCCCATTGCCAGGTCACTGAGCAGAGGAAGGGAGGCCCAGCTGCAGCCTCCAATCTGCCCGTCCCAGGGGCTTTTACAGGGCTTGGCAGAAAGATTACCTGTGTCCTGAGAAAGAGCAGCCTGGTAAGAGAGCCCAGAAATGCTGAACATGAGCAGAATGGAGCATTTCATCTCCAGAAACATTTCAGCGCAGGAACACTGAATCTAAGTCACAGAGGTGGTGATTTGACAGTTTACCTCCTGAAAAATCTACACCACTTTTTTTTCTAATACCTAAGAACAGACAAGCAAGTTCTTGAGGAAAAAGCTTGGTTCCACAGGAAGAGGACTAGCCTCATTTAATCAGCTAAGAAGCAAACTGAGACCTCACCAAACAAGCGAAGCTCCTTTTGAAGTGAGGAGGTAGACAATTTACCAGGCTGAGGATAGACTGCCCAGATTCTTTTAAAGACATCTGTCAATCAAGCTGCCCCCATCCTTCTTGTTTTGCTCAAGACTGTCTCTGGGTAGGGAATGGAGCTAAAATATTCCTTTCACCTGGACCGTCCCACCTTCAAAGGGCAGGTCTGTTTCAGAAAACCCCGGTGTCTGCCTCGCTGAAACTGGATGACTGGCAATGTTGTTAAGTAAAGCGG